CAATAGGTAATTGTTATTAATTTGTTGGCATTGTTGCATAGAAGCATTCAACGTGTTACTTTATACCTGAAATGGATCGATTACGACAGAAAGTTATACATTCTAGTTAATAGATACAAATAAATAAATAAATATGTAAAGTATAGAAATTGAAATCTCGTGAATTAAGATTCTCTAATAAGCATCAGAGAATTTAATAGGTTGACAATTAAGATGAGAGGATAAATAAAATAATTGTAAAAAGTGAAGTAATTAAATTAGTTAAGTATCTTTCTTTTTTAAATTTCTCATCTGCATAATTTCTGAGGATAGTGTAAAGTGTGAAGCTGAAAACTACTTCTAAAATTGTTTTTTCACTTGAACATGTATCTTGAAATTAAATTCAATATTACACGGTCAAAGGACCTAGCTCCTTCCACTTAAATCACCAAATTAATAATATAAACAAATTAAGAAAAATTTGAAGAAATAATAATCGATAAAAAAAACTTAAATAATTTAAAATTGTACCTGCACGAGGGTACTCCGGTAATTTTGCTACTGGTGTATTGGATTAGGATTTTAAAAGATTTTTTTTAGTTAAAAAAAATCCTAGGGATTTTAAAAGACTTTGCAAGATTTTCATGACTTTTAAGATTTTGCAGGATTCTACAAGACTTAAAATTAAGATGTAGCCAACCATAATCGATTATGCTCATTCGTATATACCAAATGAGATCAAACTTACCTTCAATGGAGGAGCTCCTTCCACAATCACTCACCAACACGCACCAGCCACACACCAGCCACGTACCAGCTCCGTTGAGAACGTCGAGAATGAGTCAGCAACACGCACCAGCCCGTGGAGAACGTCCAGAATAAGTGAGCAACACCAACCACCAGCGTCGAAAATCTATGAAGACACACCACAAAGAGAGCTTCCAGCCCTCTTATAATATTATTTCAAACGCGGTGTGCCACTCAACGACAAAGTTCCTTCAACAATGGCAGTCAACAATGGCAGAGATTCCTGGCACAGTATGCATGCATGAGACAAGGATACATGGAAGGTCCGTGAACCATGGCAGAGATTCCTCTGCTGCATGGCACAGTATGCATGCATGGTACAGACGCATTTTCGGTTTTTCACAAATCCTACGTGTCTTTCACCTCCTTTCTTCGCTCTCATGCGAGGATACCAACAGTGCTTCTCCTCCATTTTCTTTGCCTTTCTTTCGTTGCAAATCACCCGAAACAAACACCAACTTTCCTCGCCTTTCGTTGCTCGTAAACAGTACATCACCCGAAACAAACACTATCTAAAAGAGTTTTAAATACATATGCAATAGATACTTGTGATATAATAAGTTACATAAATATTCCAAAAATAATGTTCTACAACCTAAACTACAAAACATGTGTAAAATTAGAAAACGTAAGTCCTAGTTTGCTCAAGGTAAAATGGGGGTCATTACTCCCTAGTAGTGTATATCTCTTCAGATGGTAACAGTATGCAATCAATAAATATTTTTTTAAAAGAATTTAGAATAATAATTAGTAATAATTCATAAAACATAAAATAAAATGACAACTGAAACTAAGAACTTTTAAAATTGTAAAACTTACTTCAATCCGTTCAGTTACTATGTGTGAATTGAAATTAGCATGAATTGTCTAATTACATAGTATTTGTGCACATAGACTTCTTATGTGACTACAAAACGAATATAAAACACAATTTTAATAGTAATGGTAATTGTTAAGTCAAAAAACGATCTCCTAAACTCATGATTTTAATCTTAACAAACAAAACATTTTTATATGTAGAAGAAATATTTGCAAAAATGTCTCTGAAACATATCCTTAAAAGACTTATCAGATGAAATGTAAGATATAGATCATCTATAAGACACAGATTGGCTGTAACACGATTATTAATTAGACGAAACGTACAATTTGTCTCATATACATTAAATATTTATTATTTATTAATACTAACGATAATGTTCACTTGGAATGTTTTATTCCTTAACAGACCGAATCAAAAGACTGTCTTGAAACTCACAAATATGTTGAAAAGAATAACCATGTTTTATGCCATAACCAATTCCCTAAAATCACGGAGAAAAGCAAATAAAGTCACTGCTATGCTGACATTACTTTTGCAAGTTTCGTTTGGTATGGAAAGTTGATAAGTAGTCTCCTTAATCAGATAAGAGATATTATTTGGTGAAATGTATTTAATGTACACATTAAATGTGCCAAATGGTTGCTTGTTACCATAAGGGAAAACAATAAAGACAGACAAAACAAACTTGTGAATTAGACTTAAAGTGTTGCAACAATTATGTTTTACAGGTACATATAAGAAGTTTCAAAGCACAAAAAAGATCAGAGATACGATATATATTTGTACAAAAAATATTCTCTAAAAAATTTATTTTTCTCTTGTAAACACTCATTGTTCTATAATTGGTTATATAACGTCTAAGTGAGACAAACACAATATTTGTATAACCTTCATAACCATCGTTATAAGATTAAGTCTAAAGAGACTTGTTTGTAAAAAAAAATACTTGTTTTGAACTTGTAAAAACTTAACTATAAAAGAATAATTGGTTAAGTCGGTAAAGGTCTAATGATAAAATTACATTATTATTATTATAGGCTAAAATCAAATATAATGATAATTATTAAAATAAAGTGATTTTCTTAAACAACTTACATATCTAATATTTGTCTGAAGCTTGCAAAAGGAGGTTTGTACAATAAACAAATATATGCAATTATATTATATATAAGATAAGTAATTAAAAATTATTAATGAGTATTATATTGAGAAACTATTAAGTAATAAAAAAATTATTTAAAATTTATAATTAAATATATAAAAGTGTACTTACTTTGAAAAATAAGTGGATAACTAAACTTTTTAACTAAACCTTTTTTTACTTGATATAGACCATATTACAAACATGATGTATATCTAAACATTTCGAACATTCATATAGACTATATTACAAACTTGAAGAAGACCCAAATTAACAAACAAACATGCCTAAACTCTCTACATCAAGGCTTTTATAGAATTGAGGAATCATAAGGTATGTAAGAATTTCTAATTTAAAACTATAAAAAAAATTACATGATTCACATAAGATGTCATGCCAGATTGTCAGATATAAATCTATAACAGAATCAACATATAATTACGATTAAAGATATTTTTATGTTAATTAAAAATAATTAAACTAATCAGATATGAAATAATCACGACTAACATACAATTAGACTTAACTAATTGAAAACTTAACAAAATTAACTTAAAAATCTTAAATGAGATTGATTCAATAAATTATGTTTTTTAGTTCCCACTATTTTACCTCACACTTAGACAGACCCAAGCTTGTAATACAAGAGTAATTGTGAGAAATCCATAATAATGGACGAATAATCAATGGAAAAAAATATTTTTAATGGATGTAAGATGTAACGCCTAATCGTATTAATATTAACCTCAGTATTATAAGTATATATATGTAGCTAGAAAACACATGTATAATATACATTATATCATACTATAAGTACTTATCATTACATGTTTTACAAAACGCGCGTAGTTGCTTTTCTTACATATATAGGACAAATTATTTCGTGTCTATCTACATATCATAGTGTTTCTTTTTCTACTTCCATAATAATTACATAGGTGGTTGAAACAAATTCACGATAGGGTTCACGTGATTTGCTGGGAGTAAGTAAAAAGTCACAATGATGTGTCCATCTATCACCGTGGGAATTTCTTGATATGGAGAAAAAGTGAACGACGACACTGCCACCCCATTGAAAGTTACAGAGTTGGCGAGAGCATCAACGCACATCACGCAATCCACTTTTTATAGCATTCACTATCAATTGTAACAATTCATCGGAATCCTCCTTGGTCTAAACTTCATAGTTTTCTTTCTCTTTTTCCTTTTCCTTTATTATTTCCTTGTATTCTCCTTAATATTCATACTATTATTTGGTATAAAAATAAAGTAGAAAAAAGAAGATATTGTTTGCCGAATAGATTAAATGTGTCATACAAAGTTTCTTTTAGATAATTAATTTTTCAAAAAACCTAAAACATACCATAAAAATAAGTTTATATTACAATATATATTATGTATTATAAATTATACTAAAATAATTAAATATTTATTTATTTAAGAATATATTTTTTATTAGATCTAAATATAATTTTAGTTGTTATAAAAAAGTGAATTTCAATTTTTAATTTTAGTCTTTATAATTTTTATTTTATTTTTGTATCATGAAATATTGAAATTGTTACTTTTAATCTTTATATTTATGTAATATTTATTAAATTTTTTATATATTTATCGTAAGACCAAACTTCTCATGTGACACCCATTCATCTAAACATGTAATATTTTTTAAAAAAGAAATTATAAATATTTAAAATAAATATTAATCAATCTTAAAATATATTATTAGAAACTAAAAATAGTGATTTCATATTTATAAAGATGAAAATAAAAAAAATATTTTTAACAAGTAAAATCAAAATTACTCATTTATAAAGACCAAAAAATAGATATTATAAATTTAAAAAAAATATAGAAAATAAATAAAGTATAAGAATTAAAATTAAAATTCAGCATTAATTATATTTAAACTTATTGATTATAAAGTTTAGTTATATAAAGAAATGATTTTATTAATTTGATTAACATATTATTAAAAGAGTACCCAATTTATATATCAATTCAATTTGATAAGTAAAGTTATAATTTTGGATATTGTCAAACTTCAATTAAAATGATAATTAATATAAAAATTCTCAATATATTATTTGTTCCATACTTGGTAGTAGGCTCAAAAATAACATCTCCTATCTATCATTTTTATTTATAAAAGAAAAAAAAATTTTAATTGGAATTATTTCAGTGTAACCAATATTTAAAGTACGAGTCTTCCATTAAAACAATATTGTATCATAGAGACACATGTTTCTAACAAAAACAAATATTAAAGTCCATTTGATTAAAATATAAATACATCACTTCAGCCCTGTGCCACAAAGATGAGGAGTTTGACATGAATGCATTTTGCTTCTGCAACTGCAATCTAATTTAATCAACCCATCAACCTAAGGTAAGTGAACAATTTAATTCTAATGTTTATAGGACTTTTAAGTTTTAACTTGTGCTATGTTATCTAAGTCAACATTAGACTCAACAAGCAATAATATCAGCAATCAACTAAGAAGAACAAGGCAAATCTAGTTTTGGAACCTTGGTAACACCGCCACCTCTACATGTATTTCAAAACTTGTTATAATGATTCTATGTGATTATATGATGCCATTTACCTATTTTGCTTCTTTGACTTATAAACTACACATGTTCTTTTGTTGTATTTATTTGTAATCTCTATAAATCTAGATTCAGTGCTTCATACCATGGTGTAGAACAGAAGGGTAGTTCAGATTTAGTGTTTGTAATGTTTTGATATTATGGTCACTCGCACCAGCGAGGCAAGTTTTTATTTATTTATTTTATTGAGATCCATGGAACACACTTGTTCCCACTAGAACTGCTATTGTCAGGTTAAGGGTGAGTTCTATGCTCCAGTATGTGGCTATATAAAAGGGTTTTTGGTGATTGATGGAGGGGTTTTGGTGATTGATTCCATAACAGAAGTAACATATTAACGGGGTCCTAAATGTGGTCATAAATAAGGGATCTAGGTTGGCCTGTAGCGTAGGTGTTCGAGAAAATGCCATAAGTTCCAGAGGAACTCAGCAAGGATTAGTCTGGGAAGGATGGTTCACAACCCTTGTGATTTTGAGTTGGATGCTAGAACTCATCTTTTTTTATTTTTTATTTTTATTGTCATGTGAGTAATTTGATCAAGAGAGAGTAAGACCTGGTTATGTCAAGAATCAGAGTGGTATTTAGAACCATTTGGTGGGGTTTAATCAATCTTGAACTGTTGGGAGCGATGGGCACGGCAGAACTTCTGTGGAAAAGTACGGAAGTGAGGGAGTTTCATGCTCAAAGGTGATCAACAGATTGACATGGTGCAACTAGTTTTTGGCAATTTACTTCACATATCCGTGTTCGATACTTCAATTTACTTCACGTATCTGAATCTGATACAATACTCTTTGGATACTTCACTGATACGTGCCGATGAAGTATCCTAGTCTTTAAAAATATTATGAAAATTTTATTTAATTCTGATCCTCTCAGATACTCCACCGATCCTTATTAATAAAGTATCCAAATTTTTAAAAAATTATGAAATATCCATGACAACTAAATAATATATATAAACATGTTTAATATATAAATATAGAAATATTGGTCCTTGATGAACTGTAAATGAAAATTATCTTCTATATAGATAATTTTAAGAAAGAAAGGAAATTGGTAATATTATTTGTATTTGTAAATAATAAAAAGTAATATGATGAAATGATTTATAATTTATTTATTTTTAGTAATGTACAATAAGTATGTTTTTAATTTGGATTTGCAAAATAATAATTATATATTTAATGTTTATGAATTTTGATCAAAATTACAAGTATCCATTTATTATATTACATGAATATTGATACATATGATAACATGTATCTTACATGTATTATATCCTATATATTTTAAAATAATCGTATCGTTGTATCGGATGTGTCGTATCCGATACGCATATCGTATCGGTGCATCATAGGTTTTTGCTAGTTTTTATTTGCACAAGACTAGTTCTTTAACCGTTGAAATTTGCACGTCAAATTCAAATGGATCCTAGGTTTTATATTGCAATAGTGATTTTTGAGGTTTATGCAACTACATATTTACCGCTATTGTGGCTGCATTTTTGTGCATTTACTGCCACTGTGATGACAACCAAAATTTAAAACCATGATGGACCTGACACAAGCAAGACCATGGTACCTTGGGGATCAAAAGAAATTTTGGTATAATGGACTATGAAATGTATGCTTTTGTTTCTTCCTTTCTCGTGGTTAAATCATATTTAAAAATTAAATAAACTGATTCTTCACTTCCAGCCTTGTCAAATTGGGATGAAACTTTTGTTATAGATCCTATGTCCATTTGCGTTCTTATTTTAACTAGCCTACAACATTACCTGTTCAATTAACTAAAGGTGTGCATCCCACGAGCCCAGGACCAATTTTAAAATTGAAGAAAAATAAACAAACTAGAATTAGAATCAGGTTGAAGAAATGGCAGGGGCCTGTTTGGATGAGCTTCTCTAGAAACACTTCTAGGAAAGAAAAAATAGGAAGGAAAATTGGAATAAGTTTTTCCATAAGCTAAAACTAACTTACGTATGAGTTAAATATAAGATTTTGAAGAAGCTAATAGGAGTGAACTTCTACAAATTAGTTTATGGAGAAGCTTGTTTCATTTTTCCTTCATATTTTTCTCTCAAAAGTGTTTCTGGAGAAGTTTATCTAAACATGTCCTAGATTTAGTTAAGTAATCTCCACTCTTCCTCTAAGTTGAAAACAATTAATCAATGTTCATTAAGTAATAAACTAATAAGTAACAAAAAGTCACTTGACCCACCCTATGTGGAAAGCTCTCTCCAAACTGTCAAAATTGGCATCTTTGTCAACTATCATAATGGAAACTCATTCTTCTGTTCACTCTAATGTTCTGTTAAAAGTTTTAACAGTCAATAAATCTCTGTTAAAACAGCTCATGTATTGCATTGGAGTCTTATGTGCTGCCTGTTGAGATATTGTTATCTTTAGATGAGTCCCTTTAACCACCTTAGTCATCCTTTTGCAGGTTCAATATCTATAATCCCTCCCAGCTCAACAGCACAGACAATCAAAATGCATACTGCAGAGATTGTTTTGTATGGATCAACTTTATGTGTCATGATTAGTGTGCATTTTGCTATGAAGCTACTCTCAGAGCATGTTTCGAACTGGAAGAAACCAAAGGAGCAGAAGGCCATAGTAGTTATAATTCTTATGGCCCCATTGTATGCTGTGGACTCCTATGTTGGTTTGATAAATTTCTTTGGAAGTGAAGTTTTTTTCACATTCTTGGACTCAATTAAGGAGTGTTACGAGGCTTTGGTAAGATTTTGTACCTGGAATTTTTTTATGGCCTTGTAGGAAACCCTTGCGAATGCTTTTGTACTAAATATATTTAAATTTATTTCAATTTAGTAAGTTAATGCTCTATAACTCAACTTACTCATTGTGTTTCCTACAGGTGATTGCTAAGTTCTTGAGTTTGATGTACAGTTATTTGGACATTTCCTTGAGTAAGAACATAGTTCCAGATGGGATCAAGGGAAGAGAGATTCACCATTCATTTCCAATGACTCTTTTTCAGGTGGTTGATACTCAACAACTTTTTGTAATGTTTTCTGCATGATTATATTTACAGAAATGAGACATCACATAAATGAAGAAGTTTTTGGAGTTGTTGATGTGTCATGTATGGTCTCTTGGACTATTATGTGCCATGAAAAGGGGTGCTATATTCATTATTATTATTATTATCAATCATTGATATTATTTGTCATTTCACTGACAAATAATGAGTCTGTATTGATCCAGAAAGATAGCACATTCTTAAATTCACAACTCACAATCGATACTGATATCCCACTTAGACCATCTTTAATGTTTCCCTTGGTTGGCAACAACTTGGTTTTCTCCACACACAAAAGATGATTGCAAAGCTACAACAGGGTTTCATACAACAGCAAAGAATTTGTTTATTTTAGTAAAAACATTATATGCAGTGTATTAATAAATTAAATAGCCTGCCAGCTTTTTTTTTTTTTTCATAAAATCAGGTTAGTATGCATGTTTTGCATAATAATCCCTCACTTTGAAATAAACTCGAGTCATTTTTTTGTTGTGGCCTAGTGAAGGGGGGGATCTTATGCAGAAAATTACATGTTCTTCATAAGATGCATAGAATCACCATCAGTTCACAGAATAGTACACTTGATTCATGAATTAAATTGATTAAACTCAACACTCTGCTTTTTACTTCGCTGAACATTTCTACTTACAAATGAGAAGTTTAACTCATCATGGCCATAATATGCAGCCTCATACTACTCGTCTGGACCATCACACACTGAAGCTTCTCAAAAACTGGACTTGGCAATTTGTTGTGATACGTCCAGTGTGCTCAATCTTGATGATAACTCTACAGTATTTTGAGATTTATCCCAGTTGGGTCAGCTGGACAAATACAATCATTCTAAACATTTCAGTGTCACTGGCACTATATTCTCTTGTTGTTTTCTACCATGTGTTTGCTAAAGAGCTGGAACCACACCAGCCTCTTGCCAAGTTTTTATGTATAAAAGGGATTGTCTTTTTCTGCTTTTGGCAGGTAAGTTCCTATTATTTACCTTGATAAGCATGATTGATAGACAATTGTATAAGATTTGCTTCTGTTGAATTTGGATGGTGCTATTAAGCCAATTTTTTTCAGATGAAATACTGTATTTTGGTTTGGAATTTCGATCCGTATATCATTACTCTTAGATTATGCAAATTGAGGGGTTGCAATTTAGGATAAGGAAAACATTTAACTTATCCAAGATTACGAACACTACACACATACTAAGGCTGATTTTTGTTAGCCATACAAGATTGTGTTGATTTAATGCTGATGTTATATGAGTTTAACAGCTAACTTTATTTAATTATACAGGGAATTGTTCTTGAACTCCTGGCAGCATTGGGAATAATCCGATCCCGTCATTCTTGGCTAACCGTGGAACGTATTGAGGAAGGCTACCAAAACATTTTGGTTTGTCTTGAAATGGTTTTCTTCTCTATATATCAGCAATATGCATATAGTGCTGCACCATACAAGGGTAATAACAAAAGTAGTGCACCTTCAGATAAGAAAACAAAGTGATTCAAAGGCATGGATTACTGAGTGTTACGTCTACCAATCTATGTACTTTCAATATCACTGTTGCTTCTCGCCTCTCCTCCACTAGACAATTAGTAAAACAATTGTGCGGAAAATGCCAAAGTATATTGAATAAGATCCAGATACATTAAAATGATCTAGAAAGTTTTATCCAACATTTCTGCATGGATGCTCTGCTTTCATTATATTTGTCTTTAACTCATTGCAGACTCAATTACTTTTGTTGGTCTTACGCCAACAGAAACTCTTGAGTTAGAAGCTATTTACGTTACATATATAATTATAACCTGTTTTTCATGTGCTTCATACCCTCTTTCAACTTGCAATTGCAAACATAGTTAACTTCAAATAACGAGTCATAAGATGAGATTTGCCTTCTCTAAATGTTAGGTAACATACGATAACGTACAAAGTAATACTCATTGATTGGAAATTCTACCATCAAAATTGTGATAAAATACATGTATATATACAGCAAATTATGCGGTTGTTAAAATTTTAATTATTTTAATTTTCTTATGAATGACTATCACTCAAAGCACCTCATGTTTGCTTTTTATATCTCAACTACTCTTTTGGCAATGTTATCTTTAAAAACTTATATAACATATATCTGTTAAAATTAACGCATTTTCATTCTTATTTTGCTAATTTTGTGAATTAATGAGTTTGGAATTTGGCTCATTAAAATACTTGTCCTGTAATAATCAAGTTTGAATTTTTGTTTGCTTCTTAATACAAAAAAATCTGTAAGCTTGAAATAAGTTTCTCCTTTAAATTAATAAAAAAAAATGCAAACCTTTGAAATTTTGATAGGATAAATTAAGACATATCAGAAATGAAACCATAGTTACACACCCTCATGCAGCCTTCACAAAAGAACCGATTGGCTTACTTGCTCACTGTTTCCCACTGTTCCCCTCTCTTCTTGTGTGATTATTTACGAACAATATTTTTTCTAAAATGTAAAGGGAATTGAAAAAATGAATAATTTACTTTTTCTTTTTTCAAATGTAGCTTCCCTCATAATAGATAATTCTGTTCTATGTACAAACACTAAATATAAGCAAAATATCCGAGATTAACCCCTTCTACTAAACTCGGCCAGCGTTATGTCTATCTGCTATGTGCTTGTACTTAATACATGGACTAAAAATATTTTTTTTTCATATTTATTCTTTTGTGTAATGTGATTTCTTATGTTACCTTCCTTTATCTTGATATATAAATTTGACGGTCTTGTTTTTCACAGTAGTCATTATTACAGAACTAGGAAGCTTAATGTCTTAAAGAACTCATTTAATTTAAACTGGCAACCATCATGTAATGATTTAATTTAGTTTATCTGGTTAAATATTTAATATTTAGTTAATAAAAGATCAAGAAATCAATAAACAGAAGTTGTACCCAAAATTGTGAGAATATATTTATAACAGTTACCACTTTCTAGCAAAAGTTTTTCACTCTTGCTTCCTTAATTGTTACCCTTGTGGCAAACTAACAATAGTTAGCAAAACCAATTGAATAATGTTCATAACAAATACATAGTTCACACTTTATAATCTAACCAATCCGTCCAGTTTATAAAACATAACTATGCCCCCAACTTTTCTGCTTTAACTGAAATAAGCAAAAGCATGAGGGGTTTGTAAATTGCAGTATATTCATTGAAAAACAGATGTAATACGACATTATACATACAGGACATTGAAAAATAGATGTTATAGGGCATGTTATATGATATTAATACTATTGAGATATTAAGGACATGTTATAGGACCTAAGAGACTTGGTACACCTCAAGTGGCGACATATTATGTTGTACTATCTTATAATATAGAGAATCTCTAGTATAAGTTATGTAAATTCCATTCTATAGACGAGACCTAATGAATACTCTCCTTCCATTGCTCTGCACAAGATTGATTTCCTTAATGCCATCCTCTGATTCTTTTGGAGGCTGTGACTCCTCAACACGTTTGGTTGATGTCTTGTACTGTTGCTTTATGTAATTCAAGTCTTCCTTCACTTCCTCCATTTTTGTCTCAAAATTGAGGTTATTTGCAACCTTTAGATCAGGGTGTTTCTTGGTATTTATAGGGGTTGGCAAGGGTATGTTTGCCAATCCTTCTGGCACCATCTTATCTACCTGCTTCCTACCTGTAATAAATAAAGTAATTATATTTACATATAAAACACGTATAGGGACTAAACCAATAAATGATGTCAAGTGTAGGAACTAGGAACTAAACTTTTAATTTAATCATTGTTTCTTTACCACTTCCTTTTTGGATAAGGATTAAGGAAACAAGAGAAACACATGTTTCTCTACTTTTATTTCCCGTAAGTGTTAAAAATGTCAAGATTTTGATGTGTAAATAGTCATTTTTTGTAATACACATACAGGCAAGGAATTAAACAGAAACTAGAAATGCAACACTTGGAAATTAAAATATATGAATGTATGATGAGTAAATAGTCCGTGCACTGATGGTGTAAAGACTTTATATTGTCATACAGTTAGAAATTGTCATACATAATAAATTTGTTAACTTTTATAATAATTATTTTAAAAAGTAATATTTATCTTAATTTCTGACTGGTTGATAATATAAAACATTTTACACTACTATTGCATAGAAATTAAACTGTTGATATTGAAAGTGAAACTTAAACGCAGAGATATATAATTGATATTGATGATGTGTGGTCTATGTAGCAATAATCTCTTGAGTACAACAGAACTCCTCATAATTTTCATAATACTTATGCCTTAAATGGAGAATATGTTAAATAAAAAATGCAAATACAGTTTTGAGAACATAAAATACATTCTTCTTCTAAAATTAAAAGGATGTATTGAATCTAGTAAATTCACCCGAAATTCTCAGTAAAGGACTAACAGGTTAAGTTACAAAACGAGATCCAAAACTAAGATTTGGGCCTGTAGATATCTGTCTCTAAACCAAAAGAATGATGAAGAAGAAAATGAGAAATCACAAATGGTTTGAGATTGACTCCCAGAAAATGGTAGCTGATTATCCATGATCCTAAAGTGAGTAGTGTGTAGTCCAGAAAATAAAGTGTATTAACATCTTTTGATTAAAACCTCAAGGGTTAAATGTGTAATAAAAGTAAGTACATGTTTAAAACTCTAAAATCAGTCACAACTCCAATAATTGATTTTTTAATCAATAACTCTTAAGTATACTTTATCCTCTACAATACACATGTGTGGCTTTATATTTACCAAACTCTGATTAATAAAGTCACGAATCAACGATGAAATGGGATGAAGGATATGGAAGACAAGTCATAAGACTAGAGAATTAATGACAAATGCTATTATGCATAATAAAACGTGGGACAAGATTAGTCGACAAAATTGTCTCTGGTAGAGAATACTTGTTGTCAATACTAAAAAAAAAATGGGACAAGATACTCGGAAGTTGTTCCACCCAAATGCCCAACACAACTACTTATTTTTCACATGTAGATTCACTTCAATTCTGCCTACATATGAAAAATCATGAGTTTTTGTTTTACTAATATTTTAGTAAACAATAACCATAAAACTAGTGAGATAAGGTTTGTTTAGTTGTTGTTATAATTACAAAACTACTACCTTATTTTTTACTCTCCTACGAATACAACAATCACTTTATTACTGAGTTAAATGAGTATTAATAAAATCTGCATTAAATATAAGTACAAATTATCGAGGGAAAACTTCGACTCTGATTAGTACTGATGCACCTGATGTACTTAAATTTTTTCGTTTGGACAGTCACACAAATAAAACTTAAAAAATAATAACAATAAATTGCCCAGCATCAGTAATTCTTGGGTGCCCAATTAATCAAAAACTCAAAATAGTTACGAAAAAAGAAATTTTTAATTATTTTCCTAAAATTCACCCCCAATGAAACATGAAATAGAAAAGTGCAATACGAAGAGAGTGATGAGAGAGACCAGGGATGATTTTGCGAGAGCCGTCGATGGCGGAACCGACGGCGAACTTGACGAGGTCCACCAGTATTTGGCTAATCGTGTGGCGGCGGGCCATATCGGTCACGGCGGTGGCCATGTCGTCCGCGGTGTCTTCCGATGAGGTGTGTGTGGTTGTGTTCTGACTTCTGAGGTAGGATCTTTCACTTTTATTACATTTGGATTTAGATTTAGATATTTTTCTATTTATATGTATGAGTCCGAATTATATATATACGAATAGAATATTATAAGATTGTTTGTAATTACTCAAAGAAGATATAAAAAAAGAGAGATATAATGATTCATTAAATAATGAGATTAAAAATGATTATATATTTATTTTTTTTATAATAAATTAATAAAATAAAAAATTAAATAATAAAAATATATTAATCTAAATAATATTATAATTAATTTATTAGTTTCAAATTTTTAAATTTAATTAAAAATATTATTTTTAAAAAAATTAAAATAGAAAAATATAATAATTAATAAAATATAAAGATCAAAATAATTATTAAAAAGAGTATTCTTTTATATATTAATATAGATATCTACCACAGTCACATTTTTGTAGACTAAATTAAGATAAAGATGTTAATGAAATATTCTCATATTAGAACACCTAATTTGAGAAAGAATTATTATACAATCTCCTATCACTAGTTTTAGTCTTCAGATAACATAATTAATTATTCTAGTTTTATAAAATAAAGTAAATAAAATTCATCTATGTGTCACAACGAAGATTAATTAAGATCATAATAGTTGAGATCAATGAATTATTTCTTCAAACCTTTTTTTCTTCTTTATTTCTCCTAACTTAAACTAAAAGGTTTTGCTTGAAAATTTTCTTATCATATTCTAAAAAATATATATTTTTTAGCATCTAAAATTACTTTTTTCTATTTTTTATATGTGTACTAATTTTTAACTGCTTATTCATTTTAATTCAAAAATAACCTTAAATTATAATTTAAATTATTTTTGTAAATCCAAAATATATTTTATATTAATCAGGTACGATACATAATAATAATGTAAGAAACTTTTATGTATACATAATAATTTGTTATTAAATAATAATATAAAATATTGCAGTGTCATTACATGTATTATTTATTTATAATTTTTATATGCTTGAGAATTCAAATAATGATTTTACATTGCTTTAATAAAATACTTGTAAAATTTATGGTGGAGGAAATAATACTTGCACAATATATAAGTTTTTGCAGGTAAATTTGATAACTTACATAATAATTACTTCAAAACTTTTATCATGGTATGCTTGAAGCTTTTTTACTTTGTATTTAATTTATTTTATAATATTAAAACACGCTAAAGAATATTTGTTAACTTGAACTATTTAACAATTGATGAGATTATTACTGTTAATCAATTGAAGAATATTTATTTTATATTCATTTTTGTTGTAACCACTATCTTTTCCAGCATATATCATTCTGATTTTTCTTTTCTTTTTGGTAACGTATGGAAAAACAAAACAAGAAAGGAACAAACAAAACTATTGCATCAAGAAAGTGTTGTTAGATAATCAGAACGAGAATTGAGAAATATGATTCTGATTATCTAACAACAATTTTGTTGTAACCACTATTATTACTTAAGGTATCATTCTGATCATCTAACAACACCTGTGTTATAACCACTATTATTATTTCCTTCACCTATTACCGAAAATAAGATATATGTAAAGGATAAATTATGTATTTAATTTTTTTTTCCAATTTATCCTCAAAATCTTGTTTCTGACAACATTAACACTTCTTATGACTAATTAAGAGAAGTCCTTAATCTCTTCCACTTCACTTTTTTCCTATTACAATTCTTTCCATTTAAACTCCACGAAAACAAATTAAGCATTAGAGATACAAACCCTTTCAGTTTTTAAATGAACCACCCAACTAGTTTTCGGCTCTTCAGCAAAAATTTTCGTACACGTTTAGAAAAACATTGCATTAAAAAATATTATTTATAACCTCGAGATTAAGGTTTAAATTTAAATAAAAAATTATTTATTTTTCCAACACACTTATCAAAAAATTGATAAAATAAATTAAACTAATCACAAACTAAATAGTATTATAAAATCACATTAAGAAATAGTCGGGTACTTACAATACACGGTATGTTTAATTATACATCATAGATACGCTTTTCTATGTATAATCATAAATCAATAATAAAAAAAGAACTTAACACTAGCTTTTGCTTAAAATGAAATTGTTAAGATTTAATTTTCATCTGTGTTAAAATAATATTTAATTAAAGAAAGTCACTACCTGTGAATACATATTAACCCTTAATTATCAACTTTGGAATTGAAACATGTCCTTGGACAAAAACAAATGAAATTGCTAAAGATTTAATAATAAAATAAAAACACTAAATGCTGTGTTATATACTTTTTAGTCATAGAATATTATTACACTAAAAAAATGCTTTATTATTCGCAAAGGTAAAGAAAATATTGTAACAAAAAAAAAGGTTAAGAAAATATTTTTATAAAAAAAATGAACTTGCCATTATTTAATCACCGATTAACATTATATATGAACTCAAACAAATGCCTCGTCCGTACCCAAAGAATATAATGTGATGCCTTCATTCAACAATTCTACAGAAAATCTAATTTCTATTGACAATATATTGTGCATTTTGGTTTGATATTTTTACCTGGTCATTTCCAGAGCCTTGTAGAGTTTGTCAATAACAACATAGATGATCCATGACCAGATTATGAAAGAAATTTCTTCCATGGCATGAACCATGGATGAAACAAAAGAAAGAAGGGAACAGAGGTAGCAAGGTTTCAACTTGTAACGCGATGTATTACTATTACATTATATCAAAAGTAACTAAAGAGTAGACATTATTGTTGCTTAAGCTCAGCTAAGTTAAAAGTAAAGCCATAACTGGCTTTGGCCATATTGCATATCTAAATGCCAATACATACGAACTGTAAACAAGCCCTTTCTTTATCTTTTGGCCTTTAAGATCCAGATCCACTGCTATAAACACCACCACAACAACGTGGTTACCGAATTTCAAACCTGGGCCAGGGGTTGAGTGAAAAATAAAAGACACCAGAATCAGCTGATTTTGTAACTTAAAAAGTTCCCAAATTAAATTAACGTATATAATAACAAAAAAAAACTACAATTATGACAGTGAGGAGCAATATCAGAAGCCTACATAACATACATGTAGACCTCATGCGCAAACCACACTGCAATAGTTATAAACCTCCTATTGATTCCCTGAAAACTTACCATCACCAGTAATAACTCTTTCACAAAGAAAGACCGGCAAAAAGCAACTCCAGCTCCTGCTCCTGTGATATAGTTCTCTGACATAACAGCATAAAAGAATAATACAATAAATCACTTGTTAGGAGCAAAAACATTCTTATGAAACTAAAAAATAGAAGAAAGTATATGACTACACAACCTATGGCCGAAAACAAAGAATGGTCTACCTGAATTGACATGAGTTGCAGAATTTTATTAAGAACCTTCAGACGATGTGTAACATAGGAACTGTTTGCAGGCAGTTGGTTCATTCTCCTTATTTCTTCATTAACAGCAGCCTGTTTTTTCTCACACCATATCTGTTTCTGTGGTTCAGGCTGACTAATAGCTCCACTCTCCATCATTTGATCTAGGGTATTGCTACCCTTTAAACAATCAAAGGAATCCACTTTTTCACTGAACTGAGCAAACATCAACAGAACAAATACTCAGACACCACAACTACACCAAACAAACATAGAATAGAAAGACTCTTAAAGGGACAAATGTAACCTCATCAATTACAACATAGTAAGAATGTTGATAAATCAATCTAGTACTCCAATCTTAGTCACCAAGGTTATACACACCAACTGAATAAGTTCTCCAAAAATGTTTCACAATTTCAATGCAACCTCATGATGTTAATAGGCCCCAAGAACTAAAAGCTTTAGATAAGCCTCTAGTCCCTGGCAAATCAAATACAACCAGAAGAGAGAAACTGACAAGGTTGAATCAACATGAATTGTCAGAGCAGCAAAATATAACCAAAGAACATTTATATACCACTGACCTAGAAAGTTTGAACACAAATTAACACAGATATATTCATATATATGATACAGGAGACACAAACATTTGGATGCGGCAAATTTAAAATACCATAAGATATGCCACGGCTATAATACGCTGATACATGATCTAGGATTAATATAAAATTAACATAGAATATAATCATAAACCAAGATATGATAGATGTTTTAAAAATGGGCATGAGTCACTGTGAACACAATAAAATGTTCCAATTTATCAAATCACTGTAATATTCCCATTTGTATTGGTATAAAAAGTTTAAAAAACAAAGAAACAAAATGTAAAATACAGCTAACAATATTCAAAGTGACTGTAAAGTGTCCAAGTTAAATATGCATCCACAGCTGTTATTTGAAGTGTCAATGCAATGCTTCCTTGCATTGATCATTGCAAGGATGAAAAGATTTTAGTTGATTCACAACACCACCCTTCTTTCACCTTTTCAAAAGAAAACACAAAAGTTTCCGCCAGAACACAAGGACTCAAGTAATCAACAACATAAAATCAATATTACAGAGAGAACAACTTTCCAACATCATCAACAGGACAACAAGGGTTAACAAATTTCCAAATTGAGTTCAATAGTAACATAAAAGGTTGTCAAACTTCAATGTAGATATAGTATATACACAACTAAATACAATCAAATTCCACATGATAGCTTGTTCTAATTGAATCCAGAACAAAAGTAAAACTTAACTAAGCTTATTCAATCATTGGAAAAGGTATTCAACTATTTTTTTTTTCTAAATGACAGTACATGATTCAACGATACCGTAAAATACACATTAAGTTAATCAAAATTAAATCCCCAATTTATTTGCTTTCTAATTGTTCGAAGAATGGCCTCTGAATATTTTTTTGTTTCTACCTCCAACGTATTAACAATTAAACAGATGAAATAACGAAGGAAAAAATTAGTTGTAGAAGTAAAGAGGAATTGAAACCCTAGCGGGAAAGCAAAGAACTTACGAAGAGAAAGAGGAACTATCCTTCAAACCGCACCGTATTGGGGCAAGAGGAATGTGTTCTGTTCAGCTTAAGGACTCGTGTTCGTGTTACCAAGAGTGAGACGAAAAATAAATAAATAAATAATAAATATATATATATATATATACATTAACTCACTCTAAACTTTATTCATTTTATAATTTAAGCTTTAATTTTATTTTAATCAAATATTGAAATTTATCTCATTCGTAAATAAACATTATAATTATAATTTTATTTTAATTAATTTTTAAATTTTATTATATTTTCTTTCTTTTACATAAAAATATTTTAACTTTAATTTCATTCTAATTGATATTTATAATTTATCATTTTATAAAAAAATGATTTTATTATTAATTTAAAGTTTAATTATTTATCTTAAATATTATTTTTATTAATATTTTTATTTTATTTTATTTCTGCAATTTTTCAAATATAATAAAAATACAAGTTTAGAAAGGAAAAAAAATAATGAAAACAATAAAAAACGTTATTGTTTAATTTTTAATTCTAAATTATATGATATTTTAAAATATTTAGGTAAATGATGTGTGAAAATAAAACTAATATATGTAAAAAAAACTAATAAATAAGTGTGATTTAAAATAAATAAATGATTGATATATTTTGTATCCTAGAAAATTAATTGCAATATAATATAATATAATATTTAAAAAAAAAACTAAGAATAAATTAAGATTAATTATAACAAAATTAAAGTTTATGATGTGTATATACTAATAAGACTAAATACAAAATATAAGAATTAATTAAGATAAAATTAGAATTTTCTGTGTTTATTTCAAAAGAAATAAAGTTTAAAGAGGTTAAATTTTTTTTTCTCCAAAATAAACAATCAAGAATGCAAATGGCTCTGGAATGAGATGGAGGAGTATATTTTAAAATATCATAAATGTGTTTATAGTTGTTAATTAAAATTTACATAAAATTATAATAAAACTAAATATATTAAATAAATTCTTAAATTAGTTATCATCTTAATTGTTGAAATTTTAATTAATACTTATACATGTATTTTTTTTTAAGATGCAATTTTCTTATTTAAAGTAGTTCATATACTCTTCTCAATATCATAATAAAAAAAATCATATTCATAAAAACAATAGCATGAAGATAACGGACTCAGAGGTATCTCGGAGTTTTGAAAAGTAAAAAAATAAGGTTCAGATAGTAGTGACTAATTTCCTCGTTACATTGGAGGTACCTCAAAAAGTGAGATAGTTGGCTCTAAAATTTAACGCGACTGCATACACAAGGCAAGATTTGAACCCCTGACTTTACTATGTTAGAGTTTGTGAACTTATTTTAAATTAATTTAATTTTGTAAATTAAATGTGGACTTTTCAAAATTATTTTAACAATAAATTTTAGCAAAAGAAAAACCCTTTTTTCCTCTAAAAAAAAATAGAAAAATCCTTTTTAGTGCGAAAGTTTATAGAATAGTAGTTACATTTCAACGTCAGTATATCTAATTTATTATATTAATTTATATAATATCATGTAATATATAAACTAAAGTAAATTTATTATGCAACATATAAAATAAAAATATTAAGTCACTCTCAAGCAATTTATTACTTTAATATATAGGTGTGAATTTGAAAAGTAATTCAGACTTTAGAACAAAATTTATCACAAGAAAAATCAAAAGTAATTAGATAGACAATACAAACATAAAAAAGTAAATTTTGGTGATAAAATGTATTTTAAGGAGAAAAAAAATATAATAAAGCACCGTCTTATACATCACGAAATATACTCTATAAATTCTATTACAGCATCATATAAAATTGCAATGTAATAAATATGTTTCGATATAAAAAAAATAGTAATAATATATATTGTGTGATTGTTTTAATAGATTTAAGAAAGAGAGAGAGTCCAAAAGGGGTTCAACATCCTTAGGTATGATTAAATAATTTAGTTGAATGATTAGAGTTTCGATCATTCTCAAAATCTCTAGGGAAAACAATCAATAACTAGTCCAATGATTAAGATTAATTAACTAACATTAGTGAATATTAGTATATTAATTGGTATCTTTTGCAAGGACTTTAGAGTGATATATGGATGTCACATGAACCTTCCAATTCCAATGACTTGGATGGTCCCACCAGCACTTTGTTAATAAGTTGACTAATACATTAGATTCTTATCTTTTCTTTGGCAAATGGTATTTCATCATTCAGCACATTGCATTTACACATAAAATAAGGTTTTGCTTTGCCTTCACACCAAAGTTTATCAAAATTACCTTCTATATATTGAATTCACCATTTATGTCATATCAGTTACAATTATGAAAGTTGCAGGTAGTGCAATTCACATGATTTATATAAAGTAAATATTAAAGTAAACAAATTTCATTAAAAAAATTATGTTATTATACAATCATAGCGATATATCTAATACACTTTGATATGATTTTTTTAATAATTTTTTTATTGAATTTCTAATCAAATTTTGAAACCCTTTAAAAGAAATTAACTAATTAATCGTTAGTTTGAATGGTATTAAATTTAAAATTCTTAAAAAAAATTTGAAATGTGTATTTTGTAGATAAAAAAAATATGATTTGAAAAGAAGACCCACTAAAGAATGTCAAGTTCCAAAAGTATTTTTAGAGACCATTTTTTGATAATTATTTTTATTTTTTACCAATTTTCTTCAATAATTTTTTTAGAGGTTTTTCTTTAAATTTTTTTTATCAATTTTGATTTAAATTTTTTATTTCTAAATTAAATTTTAATATTTTATTTAAATATTTATTAGTAACTAAAAGTAATTTTGTGTCCCAATATTTGTTGGTGTGATTAGTGTTATAATTGAACTTTAAATTTTAAGATCTCGATTTCAAGTCTTGAAATTAATTTTTTACAATATTCATGTAACACATGATGAAAAAAAAAATAAAAGATCTATTTATTTTAATAATAAGTTTAGTATATTTATTTCATTCAATAATTTATATATTACATCAAATTTCAACAATTTAACTATTAAATTTAAAATTCTTAATATAGATTAAATTTAAATTTTTTTAAAAAAATTAAAAATTATTTAATAATTCGTTTCATTAATTTAAATTAATATATAAATTCGACCGTGAATTATAAACATAGAAGAATGAAATTGATGATAGGTATACCACCTTAATTAACATTTTAATTTTTTAAAAGTATTTTGTAAGATATTGTTGTGACTATTGATTTAATTAAAATTTTTGGTTTAAGTGTAGCATTTGAATAAATATTAGGAGAGAAACGTATGCGGCAAAAGGGAAAGAAAGAAAGAGAGAAAATATAGGGAAATCGCAGATAATAAAAGTCAATAAACTGCGATAACTCTCTCTTCTTCTTCTTCTTCTTCTTCCTCTTTCGTTTTGGTGACACATTCTTAATTCTTTTCATCACAGATCACAACCTAGAGAGAGAGAGAGAGAAAGAGAGAAAGAGAGAGAGAGGAGATAGAAAGTGCATTAAACCACCATTTTGCCCTTCCTCTCTCTCATTCGCACCATGAACGAGAAGGCCAACGTTTCCAAAGAGCTCAACGCTAAACACAAAAAGGTTCTCTTCTCTCCCATTTTCCTTCAATCTCCATCATAATCATCTTCATATAATGCTAACGCGCATTTTCCCCATTTCGCCGCATTCGATTCTGCTAATGACAATTCTCAATTCTCGGATCGGTATCCGATGCGCTTATCCAGAAACCGGAATTTGAAGTTGCTTTCTGATTGCTTCTCGTATGAGTTATTTACCTGTTACTTATTTTAAAAGGAAAATTGGATGTGAGCAAATGGATCCGGGATTGGGGATGATGGAGTGATGGTTATCGCAGAATTTGATCTGCGTGTTGTGATGTTTTTCGTTTTAATTATTTTCGGGATTAGATTCGTTAATCGAGGTTATTGTGCTTGCTAGTTTGGATCCATTTTTCTAATTTATAGGTAATTACTGTTTTTTTTTTTTTTGGTTTTCTTTCTGGAGTTTATTAAATTAATAAGGAAAAGGCTTTCTGTGGGATCTTATTTTATTTAGAAAAAAATTATTAATTATTAATTGTATATATTGAATTAACGAATTCTTCTTTTGTTGATTTTGGATGGCTGGTTGTTTTTCTTAATTAGAATGTCGATCAATTTACATTTACTTGAAAAGGGTTGTCTTGTCACGAAGGTCTGAATTCTTAGTTTATACTTTGGTTATATATATTTGAATCCTTTATTTTGGATTGTTTCCTTTTTGTTGAAACTTACTAAACTTTTTTTTATATTTTTATTTTATGTTTTGATTAAATATTTTAGTAATTTACTTTAAATTGAATATGCAGATACTGGAAGGACTTCTTAGGCTACCAGAGAATAAGGAATGTGCTGACTGCAAAGCTAAGTATGTATCTGGCTAGATATAAATGATCCAATGTTTATCTCACATATGCATGTCAATAGGAATAGAAGAAAAGAGAGATACTATGTCCAAGACAATTGGATTATGATTGTATAAGCATTTTCTGGGAATTTTTTTTCTTATTTTTTTTTCACAAATTTTCTATAAAAATTTGATTTGCAGAGGCCCAAGATGGGCTAGTGTCAATCTTGGCATCTTTATATGCATGCAGTGTTCAGGAATACACAGAAGTCTTGGGGTACACATATCAAAGGTAATGTTATGCTCATTGGTAATGTCCAAGTGGTTGAGGTCTGTGGGTTTCTCTTACAGTGTTCTTATAAAGGTTTCAGTTTGATCTGTCAGAAAACAAATCAACATGTGTAAATTATGCATTATGGTTGTCTTGTGAGGAAATAAAATCTTTATGAATTCAATCAGGAAATGTTAATATAATTGTCTAAACTACATTATATGTTTTGAGGGATAGAGTATTATTTTTATTCTCATTCTCACTCACTTGTTTGCTAAATACTGACAAAAGGATTCCAAGTGAGTAGCATTAGTTAAAGTATATACGCCTTCTTTAGCTGTTAATTTGCATCTTTGTTGTTGTTGTTAAAAGGAAGTAGCATTGTTGTACTGTATCATTTTGTCAATATATAGTTAGACTGTCATTTTTTTTTACTGCGACATGAAAGAATGCTAAGCTGGTAACCTATTTGGTTCACAAAAGGTTTTTGACATGAATTTGCTCCTTTATAAGATCAAATATCAATATTGATGCAATTTGATATGGGAACATCTGAAACGTAGCTGGTCTTAACTGTTGGCCTCTACGCCCTAGTCCCTAAATATTTATATTCACTAAAGGCTGGTTGATGGTTCTATATCTGAACTTGCTAGTGCAATTTTCTATTTATATGCTTACTTGGTAGCTTATCTGCAGGTTCGCTCTGCAACTTTGGACACCTGGCTCCCAGAGCAGGTCGCATTCATTCAATGTAAGGGAATCTAAATGGTCATGACCTTGTGATTATTTTGAGTTCTGTTAGTATGTCTTAGTTGTGTAGTCTGCTCATTATATTTGAATTTTTTTTTTTATCCTATATAGCGATGGGAAATGAGAAGGCAAATAGTTACTGGGAAGCAGAATTACCCCCACATTATGATAGAGTTGGAATTGAAAATTTCATTCGTGCAAAGTATGTCTATTGATGAACACCTTGAACCAGACTGAGTTTTTTTTTTGTTTTTCCCTTTTAATCTTTGTATAGTGAGAGGTGTATGTTTCTTATTATGTGCACCTGATGAAGATGATTCTTTGCTTTTGATCATTGCATATATATGAAGGTATGAAGATAAGAGATGGGTTGCAAAGGATGAGAAACCGAAATCACCTTCTAGTTTCCGAGAAGAGAAAACTCCTTCACATTTGCAAAAGCCAGTGGAAAAAGGTGGGCATAGTTATGCAGGTGTGTCTGAGAATACTTTTGAGGAGAGGAAGAAAATCCAACCATCAAATGCAATGCCTGCTACAAGAATTAGTGTTCCTGCACCTCCCAAAGGGCCTGATCAGGTAACTTCTCTCTGTTTCCTATTCGTGTGAATTGTATGTGACATTGTAGTTGTAAAGTTTGTTCTTCTGATATCAGTGTTATGACTCATGAGCTACTAGTATTTTTTAGCAATAAAACTAATAAAAAGAAGGGAAAATGTATGGAGTTCCCCCCCCCCCCCCCCCC